AATCCAGTTGTCTATATACAAGTACCACCTATAACGTCCAAGGTAGAACAGTGCCTGTCAGAACTTGCATTCCCAAAACCCTATATTATGCAATCAGAGGATTTGTTTTCATTCAGTTACATTGTGCTCAGGCGACCCTGGGAGCAGCTGAAACGCCTGTGGTTATGAGACTCAGATTCTACAAGAGGTGTTTTCTATGCAGGACTGTGCTATACAGAAAAAGCTAAAATATAACGGTTGTAAAAACGGATAGCGTAGGCATACTACATTCCGAACCACCATCACTAAATCTTTTCTTGGATAAACTGATGGTCATTTTTTAAATGGTTTGGACTGAGAAAACTCTGGGGAAGGAGAAGCAGACACAAAAGGTTTTGAGGTCACTTAAGGAAAATATAACAGGAAGCTTTGCTCTGACTTCCTGGTTCACCATTGACATGCTTTCCAATGATCCCCCTGGTTCACCTTTGACCTCCTCCTGAGTTGTCCTTTTAGTAATAAAAAAAAAAAACTGAGTTCTTGGCTTGCTGTCACTGGACACTGCCATTGTCATTTTAAAGAGGAACTTCACCTCCCAAATTATTTTCTTCTGCCCATTCACCTTTAGCCCTAATTCACATTAGAATCGGCACGCATGTACAGCTCCGAGCTGCGTGCTCGGCCGTATCGGGCAGCTCCCAGGAAGGACAGGTGCTGCGTGTGATTAGTACGCAGCCTCTGTCCTTCTGTATGGGACTACATGGCCGTACACCGACCTACGCTCACCCGCCCTGCACGTCCGTACGGGTGCGGGTGAGCGTACTCGTACGCTGACAGGATGGATCCTGTCTGCATCCGAGCCAGGAAACACGCACCCGCACGGACCTGCATTGGAGGTGAGTGTAGGGGGGCGTATGGCCGCGTAGTCCCATAGAGAAGGACGGGGCTGTGTACTAATCACACGCAGCACCTGTCCTTCCCGGGAGCTGCCCAATACGGCTGAGCACGCAGCAGGGAGCTGTACGTGCTGGCCGATTCTAGTGTGAATGAGAGCTTAGTCATCTTCATATGCTGTAATTACATACCCCAACCCAATAGATCCAGTGTTGCCTTCTTCTTTCGCCCTGCTGTCCTCCCACAGATCTTGTCCCATGCCTGCATCTTGCTCGTTGACATTACAGGGAGCATGAGATCTGCACCAGGTCTATTTACATTGAATGAAAAAGATTCTTCTCCTGCAACCTCCTAGGATATAAGACGTCAGTATCCCAGGAGGCCACAGGAGGAGAAAGAAACCCCAATCTTACATAGAAAAAAAAATCTAAGTAAAAAAAATGAAATACTTAGCTTTTATTGGGAGGATTACAATGCTGCAAAAATGAAAGCGTATCTAAAAACAAAAATGTAATATATTCTAGTTTACCGATCCTGAAATGTGGCGGCTGCATTCTTTTTCGGTAGGGATGTCCCGATACCACTTTTTCAGGACCAAGTACTCACCCTCATGTACTTGCCGATACCAATTACAGATACTTTTAAAAAAAGGGACAGATGACTTTAAATGATCCATAGTACGACTACATGTTATGTACTATGGATCATGATTTAACCTATTCATGTTAGCAGGGGAGAATTGTAAATCTATTGTTGCAGTGTACTGGACGTGTGTAACATACATGTACTATATACTACATATAGAATAGACTGCAGCAATAGATTTACAATTATCCTCGGCTAACATGAATGGGTTAAATGATCCATAGTACATAACATGTACTTGTACTACGGATCATTTAACCTATTAATATTAGCAGAGGATATGGCCACACATGACACATGCCTGCCTGGTTAAACATGAGATGATCATGTACACACCCTGTGGAGGGGATCCCTGAGGCTGCAGTGCACAAAAAGTGACATGCCTCTCTACATATATATGAAGCATGTAAACACACAAAGGAGCAAGCAATCCCGCCCCGTGCACCCTCCACCATTACAGCAGTCTGATGGCGCCCAGGTCTGTGCACACGGAGCCCTCTCCTCACCTGACAGAAGCACTGGCAGGTGGGGTCCTAATTTAGCTGCCCGATCACCTGCCAGCTAAATTAGGACCCCACTTGGAGCTCCTCCCACCGGACCAGCGCTGACTCGCCGCTGCTCTCCCGCACAGCGCTGACGGAGGGGAAGACGAGGCCGTGCAGGCGGCGAGCGATTACTGCCAGCGCTTCTGTCAGGTGAGGAGAGGGCTCCGTGTGCACAGGCCTGGGCGTCATCAGACTGCTGTAATGGTGGAGGGTGCGCGGGGCGGGATCGCTGGCTCCTTTGTGTGTTTACATGCTGCATACATATGTAGAGAGGTCTGTCACTTTCTGTGCACTGCAGCCTCAGGGAACAGCAGCCGGAAGGTAAGGGGAAAGAAAAAAAATAGCGCAAGCTTCGGCGCAATGTATCGGGGCATTTTGACAAGTACAAGTACTTGTCAACATGCCCTGTATCGGTCCCCATACCGATGCTGGTACCGGTATCGTGACATCCCTAGTTTTCAGATTTTTAAGCTTTTTCCTTTATTTTCATCTGGTGATCCAGCCAAAACATACTTCCTGGGGTGACTCCACTCTATGGAGGAGCAATAGAGCCACCCTTAGACAGCAGCATTGTCACCCTGTGTAGAGGATTTTGTTAGCTGGACCAGTAGATTTAGATGGACTTGACTAACAAATTAAATCTGAACTTGGGATAAAGGTTTTATATAAATGAATAAAAGCTGACCATTGTAAGCACCTCTGTCAGTGTTATATAGTTGGTCTCAGCCCTTATCTGCCATTTTTGCTGGACCGCTTGGCCTGTTAAAGGCAGACAAGAAACTACAGATTTACTGTGCAGATCATTCTGGAAAAAAACATACAAAAGAAAACTAATGCAGACACCGCATCTAAGAATTGGTAAGCAGGCCCGGATTTCCCACAAGGCCATCGAGGCCCGGCCTCGGGTGGGGGGGGCGTATTGTGGAACCTGGCCTTGGGGCGGCAGGTGGAGTAAATCCGGCCCTGTTGGTAAGCTGCACTATATTAGAGAATAAAAAGAGAAGGAAGTTTTACTGGTGCTTAAAGCGTATCTAAACCCAAAAGCAACAATTGAATATCTATTGCTGCTCACCAGTCCTTAGATGTGCTGGCTGCATTAGTTTTAGTTTTCCTTTTTTTAGACTTTTCCATTCTATGGAGAAGCAACAGAGCCACCCTTGGACAGCAGCATTGTCACCCTGTGGAGAGGGTCGTGTTAGATGGACTAGTAGATTTGGATGGACCTCACTAACAAAATTAATCTGAACTCCTGCTAACACTTTTTAATCAGTTACATCAACATTTGTTTTTTTTTCCTGTTGGGATAAAAGTGTTACATAAAGTAATAAAAGATGTGAGCACCCCTGTCAGTGTTAAATGGTTTGTCTCAACCCTCTAACTTCCACTTTTGCCGAACAGCTTGGTCTGTTATTCCCCGTTTACACCTTGGTGGTTTGTTGCTCAAAGCTAAGCATGACAAAACGTTGAAAACAAGAAATCCCAACTGCTTTGTCTTATGCATGATAAAAAGCTCCAGACAAGGAATCCCAATCGCTTGGGTGCAAGTACCTGGTATTGCCTAGGGCCCAAAATAGTCTAGCACCGGCTCTGCTTACATTATATATTGGGTTTCATTTTACACCGGGTTCTATTTACAACGATTCCCTCAGGAACATAACCCCTGTGCAGCTACCTGTATTGGTATGCTGCAATATATTAATTTTTTTGCTTTTCAGTTTAAATACACTTTAATTTTAGGTTGAAGGTCCACTTTAAGGTCATACTTTTATTGGATTGTAACTTTTGCAATGTCTTTTATCCTTATTAAAAAAAAAATAGGTACCCTACAATAAAAAAGAGAAACAATTTTACTGCTTAAAAAAACATAAAAAAATGACATATGATATAATAATAAATAATATAATAGGTACCCTGCAATAAAAAAATAAATAAATTATTTTACTGCTAACAAAAATATAACAAATATTATATATAAAATAAAATAATATATCTATAATAATATATCTAGAAATTGTAATTAGCGTCCACCCGTCTACCTCTCTCCAGTTTTCAGGTGTAACAGGTTCTTTGCATTTTTCCTCTCCTACCAGTAAATAACAGTCGGGTGGGGGGGGAGTCTCTGTTTACTCTGTCTTTACCATTCGTTTACAGACACGCCTAAGCATGTTTTCTGAATCGACCCTTTGTCTTCAGTTTTTGTGTTTGTTATTATTCTTATGCAAAGCGGAAATGCTGTGTAGTGTCATTGTGTGCACCTTAGACCCAAGGGCAGTACTCCCAGATACCTTGGAATCATTTCCCCTGTTTGTGTACACTGGGACTGCATAGCACCTGCAATGAGCATCATCTTGGACCAGTTGTAGATCTAGCATCTAGCACAGCGTGGTCCAACAGGGGGAAGCAATGGTTAAATATCCCCTTAGTAATAGCCAATAGCAGATGGAGCTGGAGAGAGGGCGTTCCAGGAAAAGACACACACACACACACACACACACAGAGTCACACACTCACACACACACTAGGTGACAGCAGCTGCCTCCACCCACTCCCTGTATCACAGCAATGAAGGGGGGAAGCCTGTGATCATGGCAGAACAAGACTAAAGCTGCCAGATCTGCACACTGGCTCTAGCCCAGGGACCTCTGGATCGCAGGATACTGCAACCAAGCCATCAGGGCTGCTCTGTATTTCTATGATCTATTGATTCGTTTTACATGCACTCTCCTGGGATCGCATTGTCCTTGGATTAGAAGAATCGAGGCTGTGTGTGGACGATCCTAGCATGGAGCTGGACATGGAGGGAAGATCTTGGCCCCTCCAGCCTGAGAGGTGAGGGGGGCATAGAGGACGGAGTGTACAGACCCGGCAGGGTGTGCTGATTGTGCATGCACACTGCTTCCTGCTGCACCTTGTCATTGTGCCTGCCGCCTGACTGCTCTTCTCATCGACCATGTTGCCCGGAGTCGGGGTGTTTGGCACCAGCCTGACATCTAGGGTGATCATCCCCCTGCTGAAGGATGAAGGCTTCGCTGTCAAGGCTCTATGGGGTCGGACCCAGGAGGAGGCTGAAGAGCTGGCCAAGGAAATGAGTGTCCCTTTCTATACCAACCGCATCGACGACGTCTTATTGCACCAAGATGTGGATCTGGTGTGCATCAACCTACCACCACCTCTCACCAAACAGATCGCGGTGAAAACCCTGGGTGAGTCCATTGTGCCCCATCAACAAGTCTGACCGGTGCCCTGCTCCCCCCCCCCTGTCATAGTGAGCTGTCATTCACAGGAGCCATGATCGCAGGAGGCGGGGTGCCCAGGAATCCCATGCCTGGATCATGCTGCCTGCTGATCATCACTATACAGCAAAACTTATTATCACTGCACATTGAAAAACTATCATGTCATGTCATCAGATGGTTTTATTATATGTTTAGATATACAGCATTGGTTACAACAATTCCTCAGCATCAGTCTATAGTAATACTTATTATTAGTGTAGATTTAAAAAAACAATCAGGTCATTTCATAACATGGCTTCATTCTGTTTTTAAATATCCAGCATTTATTTAAACACTTCCTGATCATAAGTCTACAATAATACTTATTATTACTATAGATTTAAACCCAATCATGTCATTTTGTAAGATGTATTTGTTCTCTTTTTACATGTGCAGTATTAATTTAAACAAATAATATATATTATTACATTAGATTTAGGTCCAATCAGGTCATGTCTTCTTCATTCTGTTTTTAAATATGCAGCATTTATCTAAACAATTCCTGATCATCAGTCTACAATAATACTTATTATTACAATAGTTTTAAGTCCAAACAGGTAATTTCATAAGATGTCTCCAATCTCTTTTTAGATGTGCAGTATTGATTAAAAACATTTCCTGTGATCAGTCTACAGTAATATATATTATTACAGTAGACTTAAGTCCAATCAAGATGTCTATTCTATTTTTAGATATGCAGTATTGATTCAAAACAATTCTTAATGATCAGTCTACATGCTGATCAGTTCACAGGAATACTTAATATTACAGTCGATTTTAAACCCAATCATGTAATTGAATAAGATGTCTTCATTCTCTTTATTAATGTGCAGCAAGGAATTTATCAAAACTGGAACCAATCAATTTCTATCTTCAGCTTGTTCAGTTAAAGGGTAAGTTCACTTTCCCAAGTGAATTTGGAAAAATGGAATTACCCGCTCATATCTGTCCCCCTCCCCCCTGCTATACTTACCTTTCAGCGTACGCTCCTACTCCTCCGCTGGTGCGGGTGTACTATCGTTACCCCGTTCTGCTGTGTAGCGCAGCCATGTGCTATGGATTTTGATCACCTGACCGCTCACCGCTCTTGCCAATGAGAAGTGCTGACCGCGCTGACCAATAAAAATTGCTTCTTGCTAAGAAGCGATTCTCATTGGTCAGCACGGTCAGGTGACCACACTGACCAATGGGTGCTCGCAAGTGCGAGTGAAATTCAAAATCCATAGTGCAGGGCTGCACTACATGGCGGAATGGGATATAGATAGTACACCTAGCGGAGGGGAAGCAGGGTTCGCCAAAAGTTATGTATAGCGGGGGGGGGGGGAATGTAGCAAGATTGGAGCTGGTACTTCCATTTTTCCTAATTCACTTGGGAAAGTGAACTTACCCTTTAAGCTTTGAAAATGAAAGCTAAAAGCTGATTGGTTGCCAAGGACAAGTGCTGCAGATTCTGTCTGCTCCAGTCTTGATAAAAATTATTTTGCAGTATTTATTAAAACGATTCCTGATGATCAGTCTACATTAAAATATAATATTAGAGTAGATTTAAACCCAATTGTGTAATTTTCATAAACTGTCTTCATTTAAAACTAAACCAGACAGAATTTGGAGTAGTTGCCCATAGTGTCCATCCAGCTTCTATCTTCAGATTGATCAGTTAAGCTTTAACAATGAAAAATAGAAGCTGATTGGTAAGTATGGGCAACTACTTCAGATTCTGTCTGCTCCAATCTTGATAAATTCTCCCTGCAGTATTCAATAAAACATTTCCTGAGGATCAGTCCACATGCTGATCAGTCTACAGTAATACATTTTATTAGAGTAGATTTAAACCAAATCATGTCATTTCAGAAGCAGTCTTCATTCTCTTAAATATGCAGTATTTATTAAACCAATTCCTGATGATCTGGCCATAAAAGTTCTTGGTCAGGTGCTTCCTGTTATGAGATGGCAACTTTATTCACATTGTTCTCCTGCGTTGTCACATGAGTCTATGAATGGCTGTGCCAACACAAATTGCTCAGACATGGTCTGCCTTCCCTCACTATTAGGGCTCATGTGCATTGGTGCAATTAAAGCCCATCTCTGGGCAAAAAATAAAATAAAAACTACCCTTTGCAGTGGGGCTACCACTGAACTGGAAGAATTAAGTGATTGTTTATGTGGGACAGGAAACAGCTATTTTACTTACATGATCTCCACTCCTGCCGGATACCTTTGGGACGCAAGACCGGTCTCTACAGCCTCTTCTCCCCTTTGCTCTGGTGGGCTAAGGATCACTGACTTCATCACATCTAAAGGTCCCCACACACCTTATGATAATCCCGCGATCGTACAATTATCGTAAGGTGTGTGGAAGCCGTGCGACCTATACTACTGTAAGGTCGCACGACTTTTAACTTACCGACATGTTAGAAAACCCGCCGAGCATCGTACGACGTTCGGCGGGTTTGTGGCATGTCCGTGCGATGAAAGCCGTACGGGCCGGTGTGCGCAAGCGCACACTGCCCGTTCGGCATTGCGGTCATCGGAAGCCCGCCCCTCGGGACGTGGCTTGCGATCATCGCAAGTACGATCTGCCTATGCAAGATGGGCAGATCGTACGTTTTTTTTATGTACCTTACAACCATCGCAAGACAAAAGTCTTGCAATGGTTGTAAGGTGTGTGCCCAGCCTTAGATGTGAGGATGCTGAGGGACAGTCCACCAGGAGGGGAGAGAAGGTGAGTGCTGGCCGCCAGGGGAGCGGGGATCAGGTAAGTAAAAGTGTGAGGGTCGGCCCACTGCAAGGGTAGTTTTTTTGGTTTGCCTGTAGATGGGCTTTAAATACTCATCTCTATTCTGGATCGTGCAGCCAGAAGTTGGCAAACAAATCCACCATGATAAATGCGTATAATGGCACATAAGTTACTCATGTTTATGTAGTACAGGTATTAGAAACGTACATTCATCCTAGTGGCCACAATATTACTCCATTCTAGCCACTAGACTGAATTTACTAATGTACGCGTGCTTGTTGACACACATGCGTACATTACACCAGTACACTCATGTCCAGATTCAGCTGTGAGGCATTAGGTAGCCGCTCCAGCTCAGTGATGTGTAACAGATGCTGGAGCCGCTGCATGTAGTCAAGAAGTGGCTGAAAAAAGCAGGAGGAGGTCAGCAGCACAAAATACAAATACAAATAAAAGAAGAGGTAAAACCATTCTAATCCCACACTGACACTAGCCATGCTAATGTACGGCGTGTTTTGCTGTATTGGTCACACGCCAGCATAGGGCAGTCTATACATGTCAATGGGCTGCCCTATACACGTGACAAACGCAGCAAAGAAGCTCACGTGTTTTTGGCCACACGTTTGGCATGCCGCGTTTGTGATGCCGTTAACAAATAGTGGCACCGCAAGTGCAACATTTGCTTTTTGAATGTCGTGTGATAGCACACAAAGTCACGCGATTTTGGCAGCGTTCACGCACACTGTTAGTGTTAATGGCTGACAGGGGGGTTGATCAGCAGCAGTCTATGGTAGCATCATTTCTTGGCATTAATTAATAGCTCCAATCCAGCTGCTGCATAATTTACTGTACTTCCATTTGCAATGTCGATGCACAGCCATTTGAAGATGAGAGGTGCCAGTCATAATTGTGATCACGTTGGCCAAGTTTAATTTCTGTTGATGGTAAGCCTGGGTTATGGCTGATCTGCATGTGCACATGTGCTGGTTGAGGTGTGATGTGGATTCTGTTTCTCCGGGTGGGCAGGAATAGCACCGCACATGTACCATATACGTTATTGTACTCACTCAGCTCCCTGCATTCATTCAGAAGCGGCGGACATACCTTTTTTGATATATGCAGGCTCACCACTTATTTCCCACGTGGTCCCAGCCCCAATCTAAAGGGGAAATTTTATTGTCGTCTTTGTTCAGCATTGCGACAGGTCTTCATAGCAAGTACAATGTATCTCATACACACATTCATCTTACTCTCTTCATCTCCATTGTTAATTAATCCGCTAATAAAAAAAACAGACCTGGGAAAACATGGTACTAGTATAGAAAGCATTACACCCATATTTGATTATGTGATGAGGCCAGAGATAAAGCCGGTGAAGCATACATGTGTATAAACTGTCATCACTGCAGATTCATTGAGAGCCAGTGATAGGATATGTATGGACCTCATTGGACTGATGAGAACTGAACAGCTCATAGGGACTTACTGGTAGAAGCTAAATAAGAGCTGAACTCCGGGATAAGCAAATATTGTTTAAATAGAAGGTGCATGTGTATTTTTACCTGAATCTTTATGAGCTTCATGTATTTTTTACCTCCGTGCAGGAGCTTCCTGTAATAAAGACCGGTCACTGCTGCTTTCTCTGTTTGGTCTTGTATATGCCCCCTCCTGTAGTTATCTGCATGCAGTTTGTAGTGGATTGGGCCTGCTCTGCTCCCTGTACAGACTATGAATAGCGCAGTGGTGATGTCACTGATATTTTTGCAGTGTCATCCGCTCAGACATAGGCTGGCTGAATGCTGTTCAAGCGGGAAGGAGCTGAGGAGCATAGGATTTCTCCTTGGCTCCATCAAGTGATGAGAATGCTGTGTGAATGATTTATAAATCATATAATATAAGTATTAAATTAGGTATATGTAATACTTATAAGTATTTTGGAACTTTCCTTTCTGGTCATGTTTTACGGCATCTTTTGCATTAACTCTGCAGGATTAGAAGGAAGAAACCCTGGTGCCATCATTATAGCAGTATATTTGTCCATCACTATCCACAGGCTCTTTCTTGGGACATTCACGTTACATAGCAATGACACATAGTAAAGAATACATAGACCATGTACAGTTTGCTCCTTTTCAGCTGTCTGATTTTGTAGCCACTTAGACTTGGAATATTCTCATCACATGTACAATCT